TTTACACACACCACCCTCTAACCCCCTACCCGCCCCCACCCCACATTCCGTATCGCTGGCCTCTCCTTCTCCTCATTCTGCCGATTTCTCCCGCCTCAGACTCGGCAGCCTCAGCAAGACGGGTGAGCGCTGCCGAAGGTCATGGGGTGCAGAGGCAGGCTCGGTCGCCCGGTCGAACTTTCATTGTCCCCGCCCCGATAACCACCGGGCGCTGCTCAAGCCCCGGCCGACCTTGTCCCGCTGCCAGGTCGCCGCCGTGCTCATGACGTTTGTCTCTCTGTTCTTACAGATACACCACAGACCTCGCGGTTACCCGGGACTACCCCGCCGTCTTCCTTCGCGCCGCCGGCATCCTCGTCTGCGGCGACACCCTCCCCGTCGTCGTCGTCCACGACGGCCACGGCCACCTCGTGGGCCGCCTCAAGCACCGCGCCGCCGCCGCCCCCTGCCCCCACGGCCGCGGCCCTGGCCGCCCCGCCGGCGGGTGGCGTGAGCTACGCGGCGCGGCCGCCGCTGCCGGGCCCGGACCGCTCGGGCGGCGAGGTGGTGCTGCTGACGACGCCCAGGACGCTCATGGCGCCGCCGTCCAAGAGCCACACGGACTCGCCGATGCTCAACTACATCTACGACGCGCGGTCCTCGGCGCACAAGCACATGCACCACAGCCAACGGTTCGGCCCCATGTTCGAGACCAACACGACCAGCATCACGGTGCAGATCGGCAGCACCGCCTCCATCGACTGCAAGATCAGTCTGCTCCAAGACAATGCGGTGAGTCACCTGATTCAAAAAGGACTTGCTTGTGGGCGTTACAAATATTTAAAATCTTCTGATGCACAAGATACTAGGTCCAAGTCTTTCCATGCCGATCTCACACTCTCTTTAAGAAAAAATTAAAGTAAAGTCTTTCATTCGTTTTTCATCGTCTGGTTAGATGTGGTTCACAACAAGAAACGGCGAGCCTAAAATTAGTTTGGATTCACCCATCTACCTAAATGTAGAAACTAGCAAATAATTATCAACTGTTAGTTTCGGACAGTGTACATTCACTCATTTGGGACGACGGAGATAAAGTTTGGCTTATACTTGCTCGTCGCTTTCGTCAACCAGGATCTACAATATTATGGCGAAACCGAGCGAAGCTGAGAAAGGCGGAGGCGGGATCGGTCCAACGGCTATGGCTCAAGCAGAGCGGAGAGACTTACCTTACAACTTGTCTTTCTTCGCCAACCATTACTATCATTGCCTCGCGAAATTACGAGGAGCCGAATAAGAAAGTCTTGGTCGTCCTCCTTTTCTGTAATCCTTTGTTTCTGCCGAAATTCTCTTCTCTTCTCGAGGCTGATTGCTTTCTCGTTCGGAGGTGCGAGACAGAGGGTTCGGAAGAATAACAATCGAGATTAATTACAGGGAGGGGGGCCTTCCCAATCAGTGGATACAGCTCCTTCCTCAGGAAAGCGGAAGAGGGGGGGGGGGGCTCCTCCGGACGGGCCTGCGCGCCCCCAGGGACAACGCTTAGTGCAAACTCAAAGGAGGAGCGGGCGGAGCGCAGCGCAGCGAGCCTCGAGGGACACTGAATGGGGCCGGCGTGCCCGCTCGGCCCGGCCCGGCCCGCGCCCAGAAAAGAAATCAACTGACTGTCTCCCCTTGGCCGGGGACCTCGGCGGCCAGCCCACACGACCAGGCAGGCCTTTGCGCAGTCAACGCCGAAAGCTGCAGCGGGGGAATTCAATCACCTAACCAGGGAGGGGAGTGTCTCGGGGTCTTGCGCCAGTCTTCCCCGGGCGCGCCTTTCCTCTTTGCCCCTCATTTTCCTGGCTCTGACCACAGCGACACTTCTCCGCCCCGTTTCTTTTCTGTCGCACTGTGTGGGGGTCCGGCGGAGAGGGGGAGGGCCGGCCGCCGGCGAGAGGGGGCGACCTCAGCTACAAACTTGGTCGGATCGCTTTTCTTTGAAGTGGTCGCGGGAGGCTCGAAGACCGAGCTCGCCATTAGACCGCCCACCCGCCTGTCCGTCAGCTCTGCAGCTGCCCCCCCCCCTCAAACCCTACCACTTCTGTCTGAGGCCACTCCGCCAGCAAGACGCGGAAACTTCATGTAACTGATTATTCCAATCAGTTTACTACAACACTCGCTTGACTATCCGCCTGCACCGGACACACTACGGTCAAGGGCGTAGGCGTAACAGGGAAGAGAGGTTTTCCGATCCGAAGCCAAGCTCAAAGTGCTTTTTGCAGATGGGAAGAAGCACTGAACCCCAATTTCAGACAATGGAAATGTTGCTCGACCTCACAGGATAGGCTCTATTTTTCCGACTTATTGCCGCGAGTTTGAGTTTCAAAACAAACGACGAAATCAACCACTGCGCTGTCTAACTGGTTGTTGGGACTTTTGCCCTGAAACTATCCACCACCACGGGAGGCTTCCGGAGCCCAGCCGCACGGTCAACAGACTCGAGTCCTCCAAGCCAATTACCACAATGCCTCTGTGGACACGTCGGGGCCGCTCGTCGAACGAGTTGGAAGCGAAGGGTATGGCAGGGGAGCCAGCCGGGGGTTTGAGGGGGTGGATGTCTTTTAGTCTAGCTCCAAACAAGAAGAGTGAACAAGTCGCGAAGTCCCAGTCAATACCACACTTCAAAGAGTTAAAGCGCAAGGCTCCTGCAATATGCTGGTCCTGACGTTGCAAGAGTCCTGCCGCTCAGGGCCGCTCACTCCCTTCTTTCTCATATGTCTCCGTTTCGCTTCGCTGTGCTGCGCGCGGCAGTACACCCCCTTCTGCACTCCCTCCGGCCCTCTCTTCTGCTCTCCCTTCTCGAGATATACACACATACACACAAATACAGGCGGAAAAGTTTTGCGCAACTGCGAAGCAATATGGTTTCCACCTCTTTTCACCGACGTAATAGCGTGTGCATTGCCCGGCGCGGCGGCGTTCGCTGCGCAGCGATGCGAACGCCGGCGTACTTCCGCTCGCCTTCAAGTTGTTATTTTTGTCGAACCCGTCTCTGCCACTGGCTTCGCCGGGGGTAGAAAAAGAGGGAGGAGGCCGGGCGCCCCTTAGTTGAGTGACTGGACCACTATCGGAATGAAGCAGCGGACCCAGCCGTCCCCCAGGGACCAGGGGCCGGGATAAATATATGAAGTGTGGTGGCCGAGCCCTGTAACACTCTCAATTTCTAAAAAAGTTCTATATTGTAACTAACCATTGATCTCTGTGGGCAAAACTAATTAGTTACAGAACTGCTTGATGTTCGTTACAAACGTAGCTAATTAGTAACTTTTATCCCTGTTGCCTTTTAGCGCGAAGGCTGGGCGCAAAAGGCCCGCCAGACTCTAGATTGGGTGCCCGCGCTTGTTTCATACCTCGAATCTCACTCTTTCAGAGGAGACTGACTTCATGGTTGTGAGTGGCTGAGCAGGCGTCATGTTTACGTGTCCTCGTTTGTCTCGCGTGTGTTTGGGCACGTTGAGCAAGCAAATGTCGTACGGCGCACGACGCCGGGGCCGGGGGGCCGCCGCGGGGTGGGTGTCCTGAGAGGTGTGCTTA